CCCCTTGTGACGCCACTGAGCACAATAATTGATCCTTATTTCATATTTAATCTGGCTCAGATAGGTCTCAAATGCCTATATAAAGTCCCATTCATTAATCTTATAGTACGAAGCTCCCTTGTTGTTATATGTCCAGGACTAAATTAAGATATTATTATAATAATAATAATATAATGCCTAGCTCAAGCTCTTTTTCCAACTGCTGAATGTTCTAGTCCCACAGGAAGATGGATGACTGAGAAGTCTTGTTCTCACAGAATCCCTAATAGGTCCCCCGCATCTACCCTTCACCTTTTAGGATGGCCAGCGGTCCTCATAGAAAAACCCCATTGATGGTATTTTTGTACATTGTGCAGTGGCTATATGAGGGGAGTAATATCAAACTACTTCTATATACTCAATAATATTGGTTTATGCTGAAATAACTGTTTTTGCTCTTTTCTGTGTTATAACTTTTTAAAAACCTAAATACAACAAGTTATATGGCCAAATATACCTACATGTAGACAAGAAGAGAACAGGGGAAAAATATTTATATATATATTGGGTAGAATTGCAAATGTTTATTTTACAAAAAAAGGAGATGGTAATCACAGCTCTGTCAGCTGAATGCCCCATGACTGTCATGTGATTGTAACAAACAAAAGTATGGCAACAACATAGATTTACCTGACATATAAAAACTAAACTCTGGGAATTAGTTAAGCACATTGGAAAGTGGAAACTTGACGCGGCGACACTGCAAGATGGATTCTACACAAAATAAATTCTACCACATTCACGGACTTGATTCTCGAAGTCTCCTTGACTTCTACTTCTCTGACAAGGAGGACATGGTCTTCGGAGAAGATACTTTGAGATTCCCAATGATGAATCTTCACTGTGTGTTCAGCAGAGGTATGTAGGAATCTGTAAGTTACAAAAATGAAATTATTTTATGTAAAAACATTAACAATATCACCAATAGTAGTGAAACTTTTGTACTGGTCTGTCAATCGTTTATCAAAATTAATATTAATGTCCACATGCTGTAAATAAAACTCCCCATACTGGTCTATCAATCATTTATTGAAGTTAAAATGAGACATTTGTGGCTCAAAACATGTATATGAATGTGAATGTGAAACATGTACATGAATGTGGATGTTGGCTACCCTGCTGCACCAGACGCGGTGCCACCTGAGATTGAATGTTGTTCCAACCCACAAAACAAAGGATGAGCCTGCTGTAAATAGTATATTGTACATACATTGTGCTGCACAAATTATTGGCTGCTATATCAATCCTGATTCCCCCCCCCCTCTGATGCTCCAGCGCTGAGAGGAGGGGGCGGTACAGCTGGCTCTGCCGCTGGATAGGCAGAGCCAGCTGTCAATCACACAACTGGGCGGATCTCGACAGTATTGTCGGGATCCGTCCTGGCTGCGGCGGTCTCAGTATACTGCGAGCTGTAGCTCCCTATATACTGAGCTTTGGGTGACAGGAGGACGCTAGTTTGTGTCCTCCCATGACCCTTAGGAGAACTATGAGGAAAAGCACTTACCCCATAGTTCTCCTTTAATTAAAGTTAGGCCTGTGATACAAAAATGTGAATTATTTTTTTTTGTGCCAGATTAATATAAAATATTGAGTAATAATATTGTGCATTCTCCTTCTGTGCCTTGTGGGAAATCCGGCCCTGAGTGAAGGGAAATCTTAATGGAGCTTGGATAGCAGCAAAAACCCAAAAGGGCTCTAACTTTTTCCCACTCCATCCAAAATGTAAAACAAGCTCGGCATACGTTTTATCTTCCCTGTTATCATTTTCTTTCAGTGACCAAACTCAGGACAAAGAACTGAACCTAAAAGCGTCCATCAAGCATATTGTGACGTGTAACCTCGAAGAAGAGAATCTAGCCCACCCGCTGGTGTTGCCGCTTGCCGACTGCGTCATCAGTGCAGCGTTATTGGACGTCGTCAGTAAAGATGAGGAGGATTACATGAGGAACCTGGAAAAAGTCTCAAACCTGCTGAGAATCGGAGGTCACCTGATCCTGATCGGGTTACTAAACACAACTTACATGACGGCCGGAGCGGATCGGTTCCATATGATGAAATACGATGAGAGCTTTGTAAGATCCGCTCTCAGCAAGCTGGGCTTTGTCATCGATTACTGCGCCGTGCAGAGGAGACGGAATGTGAGCGATCTCGTAGATTATTCTCATATTTATTTCATCACAGCTCACAAGGAGAAGTAAATGGATCAGCCGGCAGCCTCTTTGAACACAAGGGTGTAAGAATCTTCTCTCCATGATTAAGTCTTAGCAGGTGAAATGCGTGAGGGGATCTGGGGAGCGTCTGTATGGTGTATCTGTTATATGCACATTAATAAAGTGTGGATTCAAGTTAGAAGATCTATGGAGTGTGGCTTCTGTTTGTACCCGTGTTATATATATAAGAGCTGTTTTACCTGACAAAGGAGTTGTATATCAGTCCATCCAGTCCTGAATGTATGCAGCTCTGTCACACAGCACAACCCTTTCTGGCAGCGAATGAGACCTGATCTTTCCCTTCTGGAATTTCACTTTCACTTACAGGTCTCCTCCCCACCCCTTCCCTGCGACTGGACTGTAGAAGTGTAAGCAGCACACTAATGAGCTCAACTCTCTGTCACTGTGTTGTCTCCTGCTATCAGCATGCTCCTTGCATTTCAGCACAGCTGATTGGCTTATTGTGCTCCTTCTCCCTTTTTTCCCCCCCCCCTCTGATGCTCCAGCGCTGAGAGGAGGGGGCGGTACAGCTGGCTCTGCCGCTGGATAGGCAGAGCCAGCTGTCAATCACACAACTGGGCGGATCTCGACAGTATTGTCGGGATCCGTCCTGGCTGCGGCGGTCTCAGTATACTGCGAGCTGTAGCTCCCTATATACTGAGCTTTGGGTGACAGGAGGACGCTAGTTTGTGTCCTCCCATGACCCTTAGGAGAACTATGAGGAAAAGCACTTACCCCATAGTTCTCCTTTAATTAAAGTTAGGCCTGTGATACAAAAATGTGAATTATTTTTTTTTGTGCCAGATTAATATAAAATATTGAGTAATAATATTGTGCATTCTCCTTCTGTGCCTTGTGGGAAATCCGGCCCTGAGTGAAGGGAAATCTTAATGGAGCTTGGATAGCAGCAAAAACCCAAAAGGGCTCTAACTTTTTCCCACTCCATCCAAAATGTAAAACAAGCTCGGCATACGTTTTATCTTCCCTGTTATCATTTTCTTTCAGTGACCAAACTCAGGACAAAGAACTGAACCTAAAAGCGTCCATCAAGCACAATGTGACGTGTAACCTCGAAGAAGAGAATCTAGCCCACCCGCTGGTGTTGCCGCTTGCCGACTGCGTCATCAGTGCAGCGTTATTGGACGTCGTCAGTAAAGATGAGGAGGATTACATGAGGAACCTGGAAAAAGTCTCAAACCTGCTGAGAATCGGAGGTCACCTGATCCTGATCGGGTTACTAAACACAACTTACATGACGGCCGGAGCGGATCGGTTCCATATGATGAAATACGATGAGAGCTTTGTAAGATCCGCTCTCAGCAAGCTGGGCTTTGTCATCGATTACTGCGCCGTGCAGAGGAGACGGAATGTGAGCGATCTCGTAAATTATTCTCATATTTATTTCATCGCAGCTCACAAGGAGAAGTAAATAGATCCACCGACAGCCTCTTTGAACACAAGGGTGTAAGAATCTTCTCTACATGATTAAGTCTTAGCAGGTGAAATGCGTGAGGGGATCTGGGGAGCGTCTGTATGGTGTATCTGTTATATGCACATTAATTAAGTGTGGATTCAAGTTAGAAGATCTATGGAGTGTGGCTTCTGTTTGTACCCGTGTTATATATATAAGAGCTGTTTTACCTGACAAAGGAGTTGTATATCAGTCCATCCAGTCCTGAATGTATGCAGCTCTGTCACTTGACAGAACACCGGTATTTGTGTTTAGTATCGGGGGAATTTTCACAAGTATGAGTACTCGTCAAAATGTCTAGTATTGGCACAGACTGGTGCATTCTCATGCCGTGTCTCGGCGGCCATTGGGCGCAACACATTCTGCGGGACTAGGGACAGCCTCTCCTGCCACATCATCTCCTGCCTCTCCTGCGTACATTCTGCGGGTGCAGAGTGGCAGGGAAGGAGTGGCACGATCTCGGGGGGCAGGCTCTTATCCCTTGCTGCCCCCACCCCCAACAGGTGGAACGCCACTGCTGCGACCCTGGTAGTTCCACCAGTGTTAGGGACCCATCCTGGGTATGGCGTCCATTCTTAAGTTCAACCAGCTTGCAGTGACTTCATATTTGATGGATCGGTAAGTGTCTGTGGTCAGTCTTTGTGTTATCTTCCTTGAGGTGGGGGCTTATCATATGAGTTATGCAGATACACCGAGTTTGTTCATTTTCAAGTGTCTTCAAGGCTCTTCAACCTCAACCTTATGCTAACTGTTAAAATTGTTCTTTAAGATGTCTTTGAAATTTGTAGTCAAATACTGATACAGCCACTAAATCCTGATCTAGTGTGGTCTGGTTTTCCTTGTGTAAGAGGACACAACAGAGGTGTCGGGTATGGCCAGGCTATGGGTACATCTGGTTCCATCTGAAAACCCTGGTCATGTGACCAACTGCTACTAACTGTACCATGACCTGAATAAATAAGAATCTTCACAAAAATACATTTAAAAAAGTCTGAACTTGCCGTCTTGATGTTCACAAAGCTGAGGTATCTATTATAATGAAGGGAGATCAAAGGAGCTTTAATGGCTCATTAATCTATTAAGTATTAAATATTTGTGTGGTATATACAAAAAACAGTCATTTGTGTTCCCATGACAAGCACATGCTAATGGCTGGGATGATAATAAGGTGTATTTGCCGGGTATAAACACAACTCCCAGATATCACCGCGAGTATGACCAAGCTGAAGAAGATACGAGAGTCACTCTGCTGTTAAAGTTGGTAAATTGCTTGTAAGTTAAATGACCGAAGTTACCGACATGTAGACAAGAAGAGAAGAGGGAATAATGAATAATAAGTAGGATTAAGAGGGTTTAGTTTACAATAAAAAAAGGGGGGGGGTTAAATTACAGTTTTGTCAGCTGATTCCCCTGTGACTGTCTTATGAATATAACAAACAAGATTATGACAACATTGAACTCACCTGATAAATATAAAGTGAACTCTGAGATTAGTTCAGCACATTGGAAAGTGGAAACCAAAGAAGTGACACCTGACCCATCGACGCTGCAAGATGGATTCTATACCAAAGAAATTCTACAGGATTCATGGATTTGATTCTAGAAGTAACCTTGAATTTAAATACATTTAAAAAAGTCTGAACTTGCCGTCTTGATGTTCACAAAGCTGAGGTATCTATTATAATGAAGGGAGATCAAAGGAGCTTTAATGGCTCATTAATCTATTAAGTATTAAATATTTGTGTGGTATATACAAAAAACAGTCATTTGTGTTCCCATGACAAGCACATGCTAATGGCTGGGATGATAATAAGGTGTATTTGCCGGGTATAAACACAACTCCCAGATATCACTCTGCTGCGACCCTGGTAGTTCCGCCAGTGTTAGGGACCCATCCTGGGTATGGTGTCCATTCTTAAGTTCAACCAGCTTGCAGTGACTTCATATTTGATGGATCGGCATGTGTCTTTGGTCAGTTTTTGTGTAATCTTCCCTGAGGTGGGGGCTTATCATATGAGTTATGCAGGTACACAAAGTTTGTTCATTTTCAAGTGTCTTCAAGGCTCTTCAACCTCAACCTTATGCTAACTGTTAAAATTGTTCTTTAAGATGTCTTTGAAATTTGTAATCAAATACTGATACAGCCACTAAATCCCGATCTAGTGTGGTCTGGTTTTCCTTGTGTAAGAGGACACAACAGAGGTGTGGGGTATGGCCAGGCTGTTGGTACATCAGGTTCCACCTGAAAACCCTGGTCATGTGACCAACTGCTACTAACTGTACCATGACCTGAATAAATAAGAATCTTCACAAAAATACATTTAAAAAAGTCTGAACTTGCCGTCTTGATGTTCACAAAGCTGAGGTATCTATTATAATGAAGGGAGATCAAAGGAGCTTTAATGGCTCATTAATCTATTAACTATTAAATATTTGTGTGGTATATAAAAAGAACAAAAAACAGTCATTTGTGTTCCCATGACAAGCACATGCTCATGGCTGGGATGATAATGAGGTGTATTTGCCGGGTATAAACACAACTCCCAGATATCACCGCGAGTATGACCAAGCTGAAGAAGATACGAGAGTCACTCTGCTGTTAAAGTTGGTAAATTGCTTGTAAGTTAAATGACCGAAGTTACCGACATGTAGACAAGAAGAGAAGAGGGAATAATGAATAATAAGTAGGATTAAGAGGGTTTAGTTTACAATAAAAAAAGGGGGGGGGGTTAAATTACAGTTTTGTCAGCTGATTCCCCTGTGACTGTCATATAAATATAACAAACAAGATTATGACAACATTGAACTCACCTGATAAATATAAAGTGAACTCTGAGATTAGTTCAGCACATTGGAAAGTGGAAACCAAAGAAGTGACACCTGACCCATCGACGCTGCAAGATGGATTCTATACCAAAGAAATTCTACAGGATTCATGGATTTGATTCTAGAAGTAACCTTGAATTGTACTACTCTGACAAGAAAACAATGGCGTTCGGAGAAGATTCTTTGAAATTCCCAATGATGAATCTTCACTATGTGTTCAGCAGAGGTATGTATGAATCTCTATACTTTAAATATGAAATTCCTTTGTGTAGAAAGCAATAAAAAACACATTCATAGTAGCCGAATCTCCCCCTACTGGTCTATCAATCATTTATTGAAGTTAAAATTAGACATTTGTGGCTCCCGACATGTATATAAAAGTATTTAATAACTTTTATTGAGTGTCAGCTTCTCTTGAAGTTCTGTGAGAGAAAATAAAGTCCTTTTGCTTTAGGGGACAGCAATGGGGATGTTGGCTACCCTGCTGCACCCAACGCGGTGCCACCAGACTGATATTTTCCCAACCAACAAAACAATGGAGAGCCCACTGTAAATAGTATATTGTACATATTTTGTAAAGTGCTGCACAAACTGTGTAACCTCAGGACCCACATTTTTCCTCGGTCAGGAAGTCACGACCCAAGTCGCACTGCAATGGAACGCACAGCAGTGTGGGCTGCTGTGCTGTGATGGAGCTCCATCCATATGTGCATTGCCCGTGCAGCTCACATGTGCGCCTGTAGAGGTGCCAGGAGCCAGAATGTGATGTCACTCCATTCCAGGGACCTCTACAGGACACGCGAGGGGGCTTTAAGCAATGCACGTATGGAGGGAGCTCACCCCACCTCAAGTCAACACTCAGCGATGGGCAGCATATTTTGAATGGTTGCTTGGTATAAGAATAGACAGTGATGCGCTAGGGGGAGGCTGAGGAGACTCTCCCCTAGAAAAGTGGAAGGCATGTGGCGACCCACTGAACACGGGGTCGCGACCCACTTTTGAGTCACGACCCACGAGTTGAGAACCAAGGTCTTAGATCATACATCTCAGTGCTTATGATGAGCTCATGTAACATCTTTGTAGCCACTTTCTGTCTACATACACTCCAGTGATGGCTGCATAACATTTATCAGGGCAGATTTCCTGATGGTGACAATAGTGGACCATGCCCGTGTAATGTGTGTTAAAACGGTCACCTACAGTATATCCTCCATCTGAATTCCATGTGACAGGGTGACAACACAAGAGAACAATTGGGAGACAGGGATGGAGGATTTTCCCCTAAAATAGGAAGTGCCTAAACAAGGACCTTCAGGACAGGATCACTAGGGATTATTTTACAGAAGCTGCAGTTTTAAATCTATTGAAAATGACTTGAAATTAACATGTTAAAGATGAAATGAGATTTTAGTGATTGGGATTAGAGATCATTATTTTGCACACCTCGTATGTTCTGTGATGTACACAACACTTTTTCTTATCACAGGTTTTATCCGTGGAAATCTTTTGATTGATCTCAGCCTGGGCTCCTTCATTCACCATCTATATTCAGCTGCCAACATCTTCAAAGATATTATTATTATGAAGTTCAGTGAAAAATGTAGCATGGAAGTGCGCAGATGGCACGGCGATCGTACCGGAGCTTTTAGCTGGAATTACACAAAAACTTCTGTCGAACAGTTGGAAGGAACAAGGTGAAGTGTCTGTTGATAATTGTGACAATATCGGGTCTATTGATAAAACTTCCACCAGCTGGATAGTACAGGAAATTCTTATACTCCTCAGCACCATCTAGGGGCGGTAGTGCTGGTCCAGCTTAGTTTTGTAGGTATACCCATATAAATATTAGGCTCCCTATTGTTTGATACTATTTTTCAACTTCAGGAATTTCGTCTGGTGCTGGCAGATCATTTTAAAAGGAGAATGTGTAATGTTTTCTGCCTTCAATAATTATTGTCAGGACTGAAAAATATAATTTAATTAGGGATGCTCCAATACCACTTTTTTAAGACCGAGTACGAGTACCGATACTTTTTTTTTCAAGTACTCGCCGATACCAATTACCGATACTTTTTCCTAAAGGGACAGGTCACATTTTTTTCTAAAGCCATACAAAATCATGATTTTAGGTC